AAAACAAACCAATGAAATAGACATAAGTGGTAGCGGTATATTATACTTACCCCAAGGTTGTGTAGCATATTGTAAGGACACGCAATTGATTTCTCAGGATAATGTTAATATCCTACTAAAACCTATTAAGACAAACCTAAATATAATTAATGACTCATGTTGTAATAGATTAAGTTTTAATAACATGATACCTAATTTACCTCCTATTTCTTTGAAAAATGTAAACTTAGACTCTGTTGCTTATAATCCTGAAATGTTAAAGAATTTAGACAGAATTATTGAAAAACCGATAAATCCCCATATCGTCCAATATGGTAACTATTATTCCATTATAATTATTATAATTTTAATTTTGACAACTTTGTATCTTTTATATAAAATATGTAAAACTGACACGCTTAAGAAATTACATCCCTTTAATCGAAATAACAGGGGAAACAATAACAACCCCGAACTAGCTGACGTCGAAATCGAAATCGCCCAAAGTATACCGGCCCCGGCTCTTCGAATTGGATAATTCTAATATTCTCTCATTTCCCGTAAACTACACCTTAAAACGTATAGTTTACTCTAAATCGGGGGGCTGTTACGATTGCCCAAATGCACCCTTAAATGATTAATTTACAAAATCCCCTTATGATCAGCAGTTATCCCCCCTTCGTGGCAAAAGGGCCTCATCAGCAGTTTTGCCATTGAGATATACCAGATCTCTCTAGCCTCAGTCCCCTTCTAGATCCCGTCGCGAGCACATCACTTAAGCGTGCTAGTTCTATGTCCAATATACATAATTATATTTTTAATTCTAGTTCAGTGTAATAATTAATTAAGTGTTTAATATAGGATATTAAGTAAAATTGTTTTTTTTAAAACCTTCCGAGAGGTTTCCCTTCTAACAGTGCGATATCTGCGGATTATCCGGATAGCCATGACCCTCTGGGACGCGACCAGCGTAAGAGCTGGCCGCCGCCTCAGGTCCGGCGCCCACACAGGGACCTAAGTAGACGGTGCGGGGATTCGTAGTGTTAAAATCCAAAGAAATTACTGAATTTATTTTAAATGAAATTTTCGTGCGCTCTAGTTCAAAAAACTTAATTTAGTACGGTTCTGAAAAAGATTTAAAGAGACAAGAGTAATTTTATTTTTTCACATGGCCTTATAATGGCATATTACCTATAACTTTTCGTTCAATATTTCTGTCGACAGTAGACCTTAGTAATAGTTTGTTCTCAGACAAAGGAACGTATTCTTATACCTTCAGATTCACTATTAAAAACAAAACGATAGATAGAAATGTTTATTTTTATGCTTAGATATCAATAATCTATGTATATAGATAGTTTTTGTTTGATTGAAATAAATCAAGAGTGGGTATTGTGTTTTTTGAACGAAGAAATTCTAATGTGACTAAACGTAACTTGTCAAAAAGAAAACGTCAAAATCTTGTTTAATATTGTTGTTTTGTTGTTGTTTCGTTTACTTGGTGAAGTAGGTAGGTAGGTAATCATGTTGTGAAGTTTACATGCATAGTAGTTTATTACTTCCTAAGTTTTTACATATTCGTATCAATCCAATAATTGATCACTTTTAACGACTAAATAAAACTTTGACCTTAGAATAAACTTTACTATGGCGGAAGGGCTTGATACAACTGTACACAAGATTTTATTAACTGGTTTAGCTATATCTTTCGTGCTTAACTATTACACTGAATATGGATCTAAAATTATAGAGATTGAAAATCCAGCATTCAGTCTTTTGGGGCCATTTAACACGACGCAAATTGTTGCGAACGATAACTATAATCAATTAATAGATATTGACGACTTTACTTTCATTATAAACCCTCAACCATGTGAAAACTACCCAGCTGGGTTTTTGCTAATGATTATTGTGACGTCGAATCCAACTAATAATGAAAACCGAAGGGTAATTCGCAACACTTGGGGTAAAAACCACGATACAACAAAAGTCGTGTTCTTGGTCGGGCTATCCAATAATATTAGTATTTCTAACCAAATAATCAATGAAAGTAACTCGTACGGAGATATAGTTCAAGGAAATTTCATAGATGCATACAGAAATATGACTTACAAACATGTTATGGGCCTAAAATGGATAGTCCATCACTGTCCAAAAGTCAAATACATTTTGAAAGCTGATGATGATATTCTTGTAAATTCACCTCAAATGCTGCGGTTCCTGGGACGGGAATTGTCTCCGTGGGGCGCTAGGGACCTGATTGGTTGTAGAGTGCGAGAGCATACCAAAGCTTTGAGATACAAATCAAAATGGCAGGTAACGGAAGAAGAATATGCTGCTGAATATTATCCTACTTACTGTCCAGGTGAGTAAATTTAGTACTTTTTGTTAATTTATTACTGTAAATGTTTAAATCAATTATAACAGACCCTATGTTTCTAAATCCATCAAAAGTAAATTACGCATGTAAATAAATAGAGTGGCATGGCATTGCACTACTGCCTAGGACTTGGAGATCCCACCCATGTTTTAAGGGTTGAAAAAGCTATTTATTTAGATTGTCTTATGATATTAAGTACCATACTTAGTATAGCTTTCTCAAATATAAAATTGTATCTTTCTCTTTATTCCAGGTTGGGCTATCTTATACTCTCAAGATGTAGTTCCAAGGTTACTGAAAATGGCTCAAACATTACCATACTTCTGGATTGACGATGTACACATAACGGGAGTGATTGCAGATAAGATTGGTGTACCTCGCACTCAACTCGCTAGTTTTATATTATCAACTATAAGTATACAAAAGCTAAAAGTTTTAGGGCCTAAATACATTGAGCAATTTATGTTCAGTCCTCCGGACATGAGTTTGGATAAAATAATGGCTATTTGGAACTTGATTTCTGAATAAGTATTGCTTTTGATTATAATAATCACTTTATCCTTTGTACTAGTGGTGGAAAAACGCTCTGTAGTCAAATATATAAGACAGAAGCATAATATGATAGACAATCACAGTATTAATTTTGTATTTGCATATTATTAAGTTCCTTTTCATTACTAATTCTTATTCTTTCTCTCAAAAACTAAATGTCGATTAAATAATTCTTTGACCGTTCGAAAGCTACATTCACCCTGAGTAACATAGGCTATATTTGTTCCCATCCATTTCAAGATTAGCATTCTAGTAGCCTCTCTTGTTTATTAAACAACTAACTATTCGCGCTTTTTCACCCGCTGCTTACTAGCGATACATTTTATCGTACCGCGATATTTTATACTCAAGAACATTGTATTGTAGCTATCAGTGAAAGAATTTTGGAAATACGACCAAAGATTTCCCTTTACATACAAAAATATTAATAGAACAATATAAAGAATTATTGGTAGTTCTGTTAAATCAACTTCTTAATCGATTGATAGTTCAATTTGAAGTCCCATGTTTAAGCATACATAACAACCAAATTGTACCTGTTACTTCTTTCTTGAATAGTTGTTTCGTCAATGCTAATTGTTAATATTAGGATTTACGATGCAAAATACCTAATACCTAAGTACTGCATAAATAAACATTCTTGTTGTAACAAACTATTCAGTTAAATAATTATTAACTTAGCTAATAAAAACACAGAGATTTTATGTATATTTGGAAAATATTTATAAATCTTAAATAGTCACTAGCACTTAGCAGCTTACGAACAAGCTATATGGCGGCATCGCACATGCTGCCCATGTTTATGAGCCCCAGTTGTGCCTTGAAACTTGTCGAGCATTCGCCTTTAAACTGCCTAAATTAATTTAGTATCTCAAAATAGTTTACATTATTTAAATTATTACCAAAGCTTAAATATTGTGATAATATATTTAACTATTAAGAATATTATTTTTATAATATCAATGTTAATATATAGGTTGTGATATTGTAATTATATTTTTCAGTATAATATTTACATAATTGTAATCTCAACGCTCCTAGCTCCTACACAAGCCACCAGTTTCATTGTAGCTTGCATTGTCTTTAGGAGTCCTCGGTGAAAAAAACCTTACTTAAAACCAATATTTATTATTCAGATGAGTGTAAAAACCTTTTAAATCCAAAATTATGGAAACTCCTAAACCTATTTTGATGAAACTCAAAATTAAGTAATCTCATATAAACATCACCACTCCAACATCACATATTATATGTACCTATAATGTAAATAAAAATGAAATGTATGTAGAAAATCGACATTGTAATGCACCACCGTTATTGCACTTATTAAGATTTTTGAATAATTTTGAACGAAGTCAGTACCCACCTATTTTTCAATACTTAATTTATTAGAAGAAATAATACCAAAGTTGTGACTAAAATCAAATATTTAGGGCAAATAATATATTTTTAGGTAACATTTTTATTTGTGTAAATAATATTATTAAACAAATTATGTTTATTGTGATTGTTAATTATTTTTGTTATTACCTATTTTAATTTTTGTTGATAAAATGTGTTTTAATAAAATGTGGCTTATTTGAAAAGTGTGTATTTATTTTTACCCCATTATTTAAAACATACATATACAGATTATTAAGACAAATATCTATGGCCCTCTTTTTATTTTATTTATTTTTTTGACGGGTGAATCACCAATTCTTCTTCTTTTTGTTTATGGCTTCTTCGATTAATAAATACCTCAGACCAATGAAACTTGGTCTGAGATAAATACGAAGATTTTGCCAACGTCAAGGTAGGGAATGACACTGATCGGTGTACCAAAAAAGATCAAAAACAGGCATAGGCCATCGAGACGTGTCAGATTTTGCTGACTAAATACCATCTCGTTCTTTTTTCTGCTCAGAGCGGGGCCCTTGTCACACCCGCTACTTACCCGTAACCCTGGCTGGTATAAAACAGATACCTATTTATTTATATTTCAGTTGGTCACAAAAACACTAATTATTAGGTACCCAAAAATAAAACTACAATGGTAAAGTTATAGAAACCTACATTTATTTGTACAATATTTTCTTAAAGTTATTTGGTCTACATACTTACGTACATACGTATTTATGAAAGTATACTGGGTAGGTGAACTTACAAACTACCTACATTTAAATCTCACTAAAAAGTAACTTTTAGGGTAGAGGGCGCTTTCATTGCGAATGTCAGTTTATTAACTCGAGCGCCCTCTCGTGAGCAGTATATTCTGACCTTCATTACTTCCATGATTTCATTGATGTATTCGATTTAATCGATACATCAGATAAATGATTCTATCACACAATTATTGACTTAAAATGCATAATTTAAAACTAAATTGTAATCGTGGTATCAGTAGGTTGGTATAAACAATTTCATAGTTCGTTGTAACGGCGGTATTTAAACCTCTAGCTACATTCTTAATACTATTTTCTCATCTCTCTCTTCTATACCCTGTATTTTAAATCTATTATATTTTCTACGCATATATTTTATTTGGTAATTTCAACTCAATACAAGTTCTCACTAGCGTCTTTACTCACTACAACTCCCTCTTCTTTCATTATTAGTTTCATCTGCGCTTCAGGATCGTTACTTTTCTTTCCTTTGAAACTATCTTCTATATCTTGCAACGTCCTATCCTTAGTTTCAGGCAATAAAACATACATTATGCTAAGGAACACAGTCAAAATCGCTGAATAGACTAAATACGCACCTTCTACTCCTACAGAAGAATACAAATGCGGTGCAGTTTTCATTGAAATCACAAAAGAGGGAGTCAAAAATGATGTGGATAGTGTAGAACCTAAACTTCTATACGCTAAGGGAAATACTTCACCGCATATTACCCAATTCAAAGCGGCTAATCCTAAACAGAAGGACAAAGTATACAGCACCATTAATGACATTGGTAAAATATCCAACATCCATGGGGCAGTGAAAACACCAGCTCTTCTTAAATATACGAAGGCTGATATAGCTGTCATCGACAGAACGGTCATGACACCACTTGAGAACAAAATAGTTCTTCGTTTGCAGCATTTGAGTAGGAATATAGCTAAGAATGCACACACTGTCCTTAGTAAGTCGATCACTGTGAACTGCCACGCTACGTCCTGAGGGTCTTTCTTGTCCAAAACCACTTGGAGTATGATGTTTCCGTACGCAGCAACCATATGCGCTCCCCCAAATTCGAACACGATCAACATGCTTATAGCAATTATGGCCGGCTTATAAAACTCTTTCTTCTTAAATATCTTCACAATAGAACTGATCGACTCAACGATCTTCTTGAAAATGTTGTTGCAGACGTGAGTTTCAGAGTAGTCTGGCCTCTTTTCGGCTTTCTCCAATTTTTGTGCGTTTATCATAGCTTCCAATTCTTCTCGTTGTTCGGGACCCTCACCTCTGACCCATCTGAAAGCTTTTCGAGCTTCAGCGTACTTGCCTTTGGAAACCAACCAGCATGGTGATTCTGGAGATAGACTTATAATAGCCATGGCTATGATTGGGAATAAAGAGCAGACTGCTGCCGTTACTTTCCACGTTAAATGGGCTCCCCATAAGTGAGAGAGGAAGATTCCCATTCCGAGGGAGATAGCAAATGTTCCCAAAAACGCGCCTCTATACTTTGGATCAGTGTATTCAGCGACTAGAATGGCTGCTAATGGTGTTCTAAGTCCTAAGGCAAGTCCGTGTAGAAGTCTGGCGAGTATGAAGAGTGGCACGGAGTTCCCGAAAATGAAAACCAGCCAGCCAAGAAGGGCAGGCAATGTTGAGATGAGATGTGCGCGCTGACGTCCGAACTTTGTCATCAGGACGGGAGAAATGAAATTGCCCACGATGCCCATCGCGCCGACTGCAGACGCTGTAATAAACGAAGAGCAGTCAGTAAATAGGTCGATAATAAGTAGGTTCTTCATCTTTTTATTGTTTGGGTTGAATTGTTCTTTAACCTTGTCGAAAAGTAGTCATTTGGGTTTTATAGTACCTCCTATGTTTATTTTTGTAGGTAAGATTAAATGTTAGATGTAGATATGATTAAATGTAAAAATACACTGTTTCATTCTTTAAACATTTCTAGAGTGCTGCAGATTCTAATTCTACCTTGTTATATATGAACGCCTACGTTGGCGGACATGAATTGAATTATTTTTGTCAAATTTTTTTACATCACTGAGTAACAAAACAACTGACAATATGAATGAAACAATTAGGTAATTAAAAAAAATAGGCGTAATTCCAGTCACTTGTGACGCAATGTTTATTCGTTGCTATCTTACTTTTCATATGCCTAAAATATGAACAAAATCAAAATGTCGAAACCGTAGAATAATCTAGAAACCCTCAAATAGACCGCCCTATCTGACATGGAAATCCCCTTGTTAATGAACGTCAATTTTTTTTAGTTTTGTTACCGATCTGCCATTGATGCACTCAATTAAATAAAAACTCGTTTTTCGTTGGAACCTTGACAATCAAAGGCCTTGAAGAAGTTCACGGATAGGTACTGATCGTAGGGTTATTCTGTTCGTAATTGTCACAACCTAAGCATCTATATCTTACCTATTGTTTTTTTTCATCTTGGTAACAATTTTTGCCTGATTGTCGACACAAAGGGTTAATTAATTTGTACCTTGAATACATACTTCAGTAGGATCTACTTAACCAGTATTTACAAATTTTTTTTCTTGTATTTTTTTGAAGCATCTCCAAATTATGGCCTAGGTCTTTAAAAGTATAGGTATGCTACAGTTTACAAAGATCTGTCAATTATTAATTTCGTAGGTGTAGATCTAAAACGCTCGTGAATCATGTTTTTTAACATTTACTCAACAACATTTGAATTAAACTTAGTGGATCAGGTCAGCATTTTTTCAGACTACCTACTCTTACAAGAAATGCCAAAATATACTGGAGGATTTTTCTAAGTTTTTTTTTTTGTCAGGGGAAAATTTTCAATTGACTTCTCCCGCCCAGGGTTGGGCGGGAGGGAGTGTCAGACTTTTACTGACTAAAAATCCCCCGTTCCTTCTTCTGCTCTGGCCCGAGGTCGCGGTGCCTTATTGCGCTTACCCCGCATATTTCTTATCCTTTCGGTCTAGCACAGTAGCACTATAACTTCTTTCATAGATAAAATTGGAACCATGAGAGAGATAAAGAAATACCGAAACTACGTTTCCTCTCTTTCTTTCGGAAAGCGACAAACTCATATCTAAAGCATGCCCATCAGTAGGTATAGTATGCTCTTAACTTACCAATCCATGATGTGTCATGATCTGTCAACGTGACCGGCCCACCGTCTCTGGTCAGCTGAGCAAACAGCACTGCAGGATATCCATGTGCACATCCATGTCCAGCTATGTTCAACGCCGCTCCGCTTACAACGAATGCCTGGAACGCAATGCATAACAAAATTAGGTTTCGAATTACAAAGTTAAGTAGGTATTTCGAAAGACGGAATTAAAAAAAGGAGAATTTGCAAAAACCTAGATTTAATGATTCATTTTATTTGTTTGTTTGTCTGTTTGGTGCGGTGGCTGGGAAATTGGCTACCTTGCAGAAAACAACTCTAAATGATACTAAAATTATAGTTTCAGGTCCGGATACTTGTATGTTTATAACAACAGCCAGGACGTCGGAGAAAAAATAGTTTGAGACAATGTTTAAAAAAAAGTTTCATTTTATGTGCATAAGAAAAGAGACAAGATAGAGTTCTGAAGTTAAATGATTATGTATTTTACATACCTGCTTTATAAAAGGCTTCATCGCAGTGTGGCTTCATGCAGGAGATAAAATCTGCAAAAATAAGAACGTTAAGATAAATAAGACATAATTTATGTACTTACCTATTTACTTAGTGCGCATAATAAAATATGTGAGGTCAAATATCTGCAAGAAACTACTAACTAATAAAATAATTTTGGTAATATAAAACCTAGTTTATAACAGACGGTGAAACTTTTTGCAAATGCTTAAAAATACCTTTGGTACTAGAACCATGCAAGGGGTCCACGTCTAGGTGGACCCCTTGCATGGTTCTAGTGATTATTTATTGGTACCATTTCAGGATAGACAAAATAATATCGTCTGAACTACAATAAGTACCTATCTATATCAAAAACAATCGATTTTAAACATACCCCGACACGGCATCCGGCATGCTTCTTTCGGCATTTCTTCTCTAATTACCGCGCCGTTTTTTACATATAATTTTGACGTGTAATAGTGCTGTTTTATGGCCTATTTACAAAAATAAAATTCATTGTTTCATTTGTTTCTCTAATTTACTGTTAAATAACTTTTACTTTCTATGATTATTTAGACACCACTGACATACAGTAAAGGTAAACATCGTGAGGAAACCTGGACTTATAATTTCTAATTATAAGTTTGAAATCGCCAACCCGCATTGAGCAAACGGGGTGATTAATGCTCTAACCTTCTCCGTATGAGAAGAGGCCTTGCTCAGCAATGGGTACTTATAGGCTGATGATGAACTTTTACTTTAAGTGTGTCCGATGTAGTTAAAATATAAGTTTAGAGTTTTACTGTGTTGGTAGAGCCTTGTAGGTGCAGCAACAATAGTAAGAACTTCAAATAAAATTGCAAGGCCTTTAAAAGTATTTGTCAGCGACGCTAAGAGCAGGCCTTTCCCGTTTAGACAGACAAACATCTTGAAGGTTTTAATGGAGGCTGAGCACTGATTACCTATTTCTTCACAGAATACCTAAATAAATAGCGTTTTATAGTTTTAGGTTACCTAAAAGATTAGCAAACTGAAATGGCCGTAGGCAGGTAACATTTGTAGAAGAACTGATGACTGTTGGGGTAAACGTAGTGTAGGGCCTTCATTTAGGGTTGATATCCCTAAAGTAGCTGATTGGATGAGAAGAGCTGAACATCGAGCTCGGTGGCTTGCAATTGGTCAAATCGAATTCAGTGGCCAGGAATGGGCTGGTGATCTATACTAATATCCGTAGAATTAGAAACAAAATAATATATATAGTCCGAAAATATTTGCAAGTCCAGAGGTAGAGATCACAAATGCGTTGCGGACTGTGAATCATTTACCTAAAAATAAGTGACATGGTTCATGGTTCAATCAAGTCACATGGTTCAATCAAGGACCATGTTATAGTTGACTTTCGAATGGTGTTTTGCATCGTGAGGCTCCAGGGCAGCTATAAAAGGACCCAACATCTCTTACAGATTTTGAGTGTGAACAGCGGGATATCATTTTCTTCCCAAAAACATACTCTCCATATACAAAAGGCCTATGAGCATAAGCACCTTTCACAGCTTTACAGGTCTTTTGTAAATATCAAAAAAAAGCAGAAATATTTAAATGTGTATTCATATCTTAATATGATTTACATCAACTAAAGAACTTAAACTTTTTGCGAGTTTAGTTAAAAATAGACTCAGAATTGTTTAAATAGAGGCGGTATTTGTTCGGAAATAACAATTAGTCGTCTGGTTTTTGTGGTATCACTTGCTTTTCGTTACAGTTCTGTAGGGGGAAAAATTTAATAATCCAATTACTTCTTCGGAGAGGAAGTATCAGACTATTATCTCTCTCTTAATAGAGTTAAAAACCTCGTTCCTTCTCCTGCTTCAGGCCAGGGTCGATGTACGTTCGCCTGGACCCGCAACCACGGCTGAACACCAGCCCCCTTGGGCCCCATCCAGTGGGCAGTTTAGGTAACTGTTATACCTAATATAAGTATATATTAATCTGTATTATACTCATGACCTTGATAGTTTCTCAAGAGCATTTCCGTAGTTTTTTCTGTGAATATTTTATTTTAAGTATTTTTAATGATTTGTGCCCATTCTTTTTTTTAGTTGGTAGGTAATACATTATGTCACGTAACTTTTTTATTCGAAGCTTATTTACTGTTTTTTTTTTGTTTGGACTAGCTTTTTAGTGACGTTGACAAGTTTTTTTCTTTTAAAGTTGCGAGGTGTTTTTGTTTGAGGTTTAAATACCTAAACTGATTTTGATTAAGTACTTAATTTACAGATACAGAAAAAGGTAATAGATATAGGTTGTATTCTATCTAATAACTGTTGTGTCAAAGTTTATTGTTGTGTTTTTAATAATAGTCTTCGATTATTGTCAGCGAATTTATAGTCAAAACATTTGTTTTTTGAAGTGGAGCGAGAGGGAGTGTCTGACTCTTGCTTTCTCTTACGACTACAAACCACCCCGGTCATTCTGTCACTCCGGATCTGGGTTGCGGTACATGACAACACCAGCTGGAGTAGGTATTCAATCATCAAATCAATTATCATATTTAAATGCTCAGTTTTTTCGACAATAGGTAATATTAACAAAAAACATCACAATTAATTTTATGGTATCAATTTATTATGCTGTAGATTTTTAGGAAGCATTTTTTCGATATACCCATACCTGTGTACAATTAATTGAACAGGTGTAAAATAAAAATAAAAAATCGGCGAAACCTGAATTCCATGACATAAAAACCTAAAATATGTACCTATTATTTCCCTGTTGTTAAGGAAAATTTATATACTTTCTTTTTCCATAATTCACAGAAAACCGAACCTTTGTTTCAACCACTATAATAATTTCAGTGGCTAATAATCCTAGGTAAAACAATGTCCTTCACCGAGTTCATCGACGGAACCCTAAACGTGACAAAGACAATGAATAACCAGGTAAAGAGTTAAGAATCAGTAATTATTTAATTGTTTATGTATGCGTCTGCGCAGCAAAACGGAGATCGTGACAGACTAAAAATATATCCGTTGCTAAGATACCTAGGTTGTACCTGGAGTACTAGTGCTTGTGGAACGAATATAGCTGCTAAGTTTTTCGTTATTTTTCCTAAGTACTACTTTATACTTTGTATAGGTACTTCAAAGTCAAAATCATTTATTCCAACTAAACGATAAATAGGTCCTTTTGAAACGCAGCTAAATAAATATAATAAGTAGTAGTCTGTCAGTGGGTTCGTCAGTGAAGCTAGGAGCTCGTTCCAAATTGTAAATTCGAATAGAGAAAAAACACAAATATTTGTCTACGATATTTGACTACAACATAGTATAAATACAATTTCACAAATACATTATATATACATTATTTTATCCATACGTGAGAACAATACAGAGACAGGTTGCTAAAAATAAAAAACAAATGATGGGATCTATCATTAAATTTTAAATCCTTTATCGTCTCGAACATGGCGCTCACATATGCATACTTATAGCAACAAACTTTAATAAAAGCTGCCTGTTAACTATTTTTAAATAGTAACTATCGTGAGACACAGTAAATTTATTGAAAATAACGAGTTAAATGAACTGAGAAATGCTCTATTAGTTTCAAGTCGCAACAGGACTCTTGTTCATGAAAAGCGTGCGCGTTACGACGATGTCGCGTAGCCGATTTGACACTAGTAGAGCTTTTCAAAATTAATCGTTTAAAGACTGCCTGGTGGTAAGAGATCACCAGAAGCCTCTTGATATTTTTTTCATGGGGTAAGTTGGCAAACGAGCAGGCGGATCTCCTGATTATCATTATTATTATATACTTGAACACACTAGCAGCTTAGAAAGCTGATGCGTGCGTATTAATGGATTTGGAGATTTTGTCGAGTCTGTTTTTAAAAGAATTAACTGTGGGCGCTTTTATCACATTTTCTGGGAGTTTATTCCATTCCGTGACCACCCTATTAGGTAGGAAGTGTGTCAAGGGATTCAGTTTTGAGGATGTTCTGCATAGTTTTAATGAGTGTCCTCTCAAATTTCGATTTTTATTAAGAAGATACATATTCTTAAGTCCAGGAACGTTGTAGCAGTCACTCATTATTTTGTAAGTCTCAATAAGGTTTCCTCTCTGTCTCCGCTTTTCAAGAGTGGTGAGGCCAAGTTCGTGCAGACCAGACAATGATGGTAAGCAATAAGTTACAAGTGAATCGTCGGCCTTTTGGGCTAAGGAACTTGAGGATTATGAGAATTGCAAGGGTAGAGTAAGGATCAGTAGCATCGCAAACATTATTTCACGCCGGTTTTATGTGAGGACGTTGTATCACTCCGGTCGAGCCGACCCATTCTTGCCGCAGCACATTCCCACCCATCCATAGCATAGATAGTGCATAATTGTTATGTTTTGCAAGTTCACTTGTACACACTGTAATATCAATTACGACAATAAGGAAACAATGGATGGACTTGATTTAATTGTTGGATTACGGAATAATAGCAATTAGAATTATGTTTTGTTATTATTGTAGCCTTTTACGTACCTATCTATTACGTGTGGAACTGAAGATTGAGGTTAGTGGCATCCTGCAGGAATAGGTACGTAGTTGGAAATGATCGGTAGAGAAGACGGTCTAATTATGATTTTGATAATGATTGCCTTAGGATTTCTTGGATGGCACACCGCACCAATGTATCGATCCTACAGGCGCTTAAGATCCAGACAAGGCTCTCTTCCACATGCCTTCGCAGTATTCGGGAGCTTTTTGGACACACTGCCAGAAGGAACAATGATAACTTGGAAAAGTTACTGTTCACTGGTAAAGTGGAAGGAAAGAGACCTGGAGGTAGAGGCAGAATCTAATACGTTGGACGGATCAGATTCGCACCACTCTCAACACTACGATCCACGATGCTCTCCACTCGGCGGCAGATAGAAATAAATGGCAGAGAGTAATACGCAGTACACTGCTTCCACGAGGTGGTCACGATCCTCAGCTCTGAGGAAACCGACGCGGGAGGAGGAGAATAAGTATAAAAATGTCGCAGAACAAAAGTTTTTATTA